TACAATGCACGAACAAAATATTCGTTTAAATAAATACGAACGATGATGTTTTCTTTGTTGGCTTCAACGGGTTTCGTGTCCAACTCAGCACAGTGATGCAGATTTAGATTTACGGTTTGTCTTCTATGCTCACTTTTCGTTCGCTATCGAATCGTATCAAGATGAATTGCATAGCAACCAGGCACACTCAGAGGCCAAAGCTCTCATAAGTTCGAATATTATTACCCCAGCAAACCAGTTCACAAGTCGGCGACCTTTTAACCATTTCTCAGCCGGCTGCACTGAAATAAACAGAGAAGGAAGGGTTCTTTTGTCAACGAGTTAGCAGTTTATGTAGAAAATGTCTGCCATCAAAGTGAAGGCAATGAAGTGGTGCATGATTCCGCTTGATTAGTCCGTGGCAGTGGTTTCCTCCGCAACTCGACCGTGACATCCATAAGTGACCAAAACGTCACAATGAACTTAACGACTCTGAACTCGAGGTGATAGATCTTCTGATTCCACAGTTTTGACAGAATTGTAATCTTTCATCATCACTAAATGAACATGAAGTAATTACAAGCTGCCGTGTCAGTTGGTTGCTGATCGGATCGATGGGACGCTAGGTTGATCTTCAGTTAAGCTATTAATTATGCTCCATGTCGGGAAAATGTCAACGGAGATAGCGTAACCGTTGGGAGTGCCATTTTCGCTGACATTGATGTGTAGCGACTCCTTGATTAACAACTTCACCATCTCAGTCAACCACCGTTGCATCGCTGTTGTTAAAGTCGTCGCCATTTTTCAGGATATGAGCAATAAAACTAGCGCTACGGCACCCTATGCCTGTCCTCTAGTAATCCCCTCCTCTAATAATCTAGTTTATAACGGTCCACAGGCCTTGCCAAAATATATAGTCGCAGTTGTTGCAAGCTATCTGATAAGCAACATTTTAACTCTCCGAGCTCCGGTAATGAACAAGTTTCTTGTACAGCAGGTTTTCCAAGGTTTTGCCTTGCAATAAGATGCAGAAGACCACAGGTTTTTAAATATCGTCAAATTTCTTCGTATATGCATGATATGTCTGGAAGAATTACAGTCAAAAAAGGTGTGGGACCAAACGTTGGGCGTTAAATACAAAATAAAGAATTCGCATATCCATTTTAATGCAAGGTAGATGAACAGACAGATTTTATCTCAACACATGATTTTTTTGCTGTGCTAGATCAGGTATATATCCTTCGATCAACAGCAGGGCATACCGTTTAAACCTTTATTGATTCTTTGCACCTTTGTCAAGGAGATCATTGATTAGAAATGTTCGACAACCTGCAAGTAAGTTCTTTTACAACGCGAATCAAAAACGAGTGAACGCCTAGAAGCTACGCTAGCAGTTCATTTATTTACCAAAGGACAGGCTGAAAGCTTAACACAAAAGTCCAAACATATAGGGCACCATGTACACCGTTCTTCACAAAAGCAACAACAGAAGTTTTACAATCAGTATCATAACATATAGACTGTTGCTCATGATTCTATAGTCTCTTTGAGGCCGTTGTTTAGCCTGAATACCCAGTTCAGTGTTTCCTGAAGTTCAGTCATTTGATAAAACCTACAAACGAATGATTTTAATGTGAATTCCGGTAGGCGACGTCGACTTACTTAGATATGTTGTAGAATATCTTGATTTTTTTTATGAGCTCATCGTATTTCGCAGTGCACGCGAAGTTTCCGCTACATTCGCATCGGTGGCTCATGTTTGTTAGCTTGACCTGTAAAAGATTCAGGGTCGTAATGCTTCAGTACTGTTCGCAACAAATACTTCTTGGCATTTTATGCATCTTAGGTCCTGCAGGCAAAACGTCACCATCAACTTATTGAGGTCCTGCAAAAGCAGACACTCTATTTCCTTTAAATCATACTCGCCCCCACATCCCGGACATCGCCAGATAGTCCTAAAGTTCCACGGCGTATCATCAATACAAGAAATAAAAACAGATGTCCTTACATCGCTTCTGTTTCACAGAAAATACTGTGATCACGACACAGGTCGATGTCTCGACATTCATGGCAGTGCTTGCAGATTATCTTAAAGAAGTAAACTTGAAATATATAACACAAAATATAAAGTAAGCTAAACCAGCATGACCAATTGTGCAAGGAGAATTACGAGTACGAAGTTCGAATTTAGAAGGGCGAATTTAGAACTACGAAGTTATATCTGAAAGCAGTAGAGCGAGGACGCAATCCCGCAGTGAATTTCTCATAAAGCTCTTTATAATCGTCAAGCTGATGAATACTAATTCAGCAGGTTCAGCGAATCTCGCTTTTCAATTCAGAGAATTCATTCAAAGCAGGATGCAGTATTTCTATCCTTGGTAGATGAATTAGTGCAGCATAATCAAATGCCTTCTTCTGGGTTTCGTCTGGCTTCTCTGGAACATCATTATTGCTCTAAAAAAGAGGTTAATCGTCATCCCCTCATTACAGTTGCTAGATAGTCGATCGCTCTTCTTTACGGATTAATAGCAGATTTTAAGGACACTGTTTGGTACACAGATCGATACGCATTGGACGACATAATACCAGGTTAAATTTTCGAATTCAGGCAGCTCAAAGGAAACAATTCACGTACCTCAGACAAAATGTAGGACATGCAAGGGTCTTTCCACTCTGCTTCCGAAGCAAATTCGCTAACGCCGACGAGCTTGAGGAGGTCACGCCGCAACCTTTCGACTTCGTCTCTGATATTTTCGTCCAAACTTAGTACCTAATTAACAACGCAAATTTTAACACGTGAAAGTTTCGTTAACTCACTTTGCAAATGGCTTTCGAAAACTCCAAGCCTGGGTTGTTTAACTTTAAGTGAGATCCAGGAAACCGCGGGAACAGCATCTTAATTCCGCCTTCTGTAATCGTAGCCGACACTTTCTTTTGGATTTTTTGCACGGTTCTAGATTTTCACAGTTTAGAGACGCTAAAAAGCCTTCACGGCAATCATTTTTTACGAGTACAGCTTTATGGTGAGCTCGTCTTTTATCAGATGTTGGCAGTAAGACTTGAGGCTTTGTTGAACTGAATCCGTCGTATCTCCAGTGGAAACCTGCGATGCAGCGACGTCAGGCATTACAAAGCTTTCTTCAGACAGGATGGACGTAACGTATTTATGTACAAGCGCAATGTAGCCAGCGACCAGTAGCTGAAATGCTAGATTATAAAATCAAGTACCGTTAAAACCATATTACAGGAAAAAATGGGGAGGGCGGCGAACTGAAAGAAAAACAAGCCAAATATTGTTACCAAACAACACTACTTCAGTAGTCACTAGGTGCGAACCACATTGCAAGAAAAATGTAAATTTGACAAACAACTGAATTAGGCAAATTGTAATTTCCATTCCTTTGACCCCACGAGAGGAAACGAAAATCTGACGTGATCACACTTCACCTGCAAATCACTGACCCAGATTTAATTAGGAAAGCCACTGATGACACCTTCAAAAGTCCCGCGTACTTTGCCGAAAAATCAGTAAATGTTCGAGCAATTCACCGCTTTCAAAATAATTTACTTTGCTTGCACTTCGCCTACGTATAATCTCACACATATGCACAATACCTTAAAATTTGTCTGGCATCCAGCAGCGACTGGCAAAAATCTTCTAATGTTCCAGTTCATTTCGACTGTTGGCTAATCAGCAAAAATCAGTTTGCAAAAAATCGCGACAAATCTCATTACCGATTCTTCGACCGTGACAGTACCATCTTCGGGCGACACATTTTCATCATCCAAGATTAATTTACGAACAAGGACTCCGCCAAAATTCGCCTAAAACCGCCGTCAAAATTAAAAATAAAATATTAATACAATTAATCGAAGACGACTTTTCGATGCAACTGATTTGTAAGAACAAGCTGGACGCAATATTCAAAAAAAAGGTCAATACCAAATTTTTAGTCTATATCAGCCGTCTACTTCATAAGTAAAGCTAATTACTAACGTTACTGACTCGAGAAAATTTTGAAAGATTGCTTATAAAAGTTGCACTTCGAAACTTATCACCCTTCCACTATCGATCTGTGCTAGAAACGGAAATTCCGCAGCGTTGGAACAACTTATGAAGAACATATGCAATAACGATGTTTTTCGCCACAAAAATACACCTACTGTTAGTGAATGGTTGACACGGTATATTCCGTCAACCGTCAATGACAAAAATCAATCCGCAATCAAAATCTCAGAGTGCTTCGCTTCACTAAATCCGTTGGGATGAATGAAAATCTAGGAGTTATCAGCTAAAACGAGGGCTGGCATCCCTAATGAAGGGACGAATATACCATTCGCCAAAAAGCTCAACAAAGGGTGGAAAACGTCGACCTCTGCTAGTGGCACGCCCGCAAATAAGTGCAAGTCGGATGAAAAGAAAGAAAAATTAAACATATAACGTAATTAAGAAATGGCGCTTGTTCATTCAAGGAAAGAGCGCAAAGTTCGAAACCAGAATGCATCACGTACTGATTCCCTGAAAATGCAAGATGCTTGAGCTCAAAAAAAAACTTTGGAACTCTATAAATCTATCCGAAAAGGAGCTATCTGAAACAGAAAAAGGTTTAATCGCCATGGTTGATAAATTTACGTTATTACTCGTGGCCGAGGTGCGCTGAAATAGGCCTTTCCTGCCCAAAATATGATATCCTAAGCCATGGAGATATTGCGATACTGCTCTAAAAATAAAAAATAACAAAATGAACATTTCACTTACTCACCCGGAAAACTAAAAGATTTACAGAATTAAAACAAATCTAAAAGCGCCTTATTCTACCTGTTTGCAGAAAGCACAATCAACACTTGAGTGGTAAGAACACCGAGAAAAAAAACATTAAAAACCAAATATTTCAACGGTCTTTCCCACAGAAAGGCATGTCATAAAATTTAACGCGATCGGTCAACTCTGAAGAGTTAAGTAATAACATCCAGTGGAATAAGGAGGAAATCTTAGGAATAAGGAACACAGACGATGTGAATGCAGCGCCAATGGGGCAACGAGTAAACCACTCGCAAAGTTAGTTGAAAAATACCACAACGTCTGATGTCACCGCTGTGACATGACAAATTCACCTTTGTCGCACAAAAAATTAGCCGGTTCAAAGCCCAGTCCAGCAGTGTTCATTTCACCAAGCGAATTCTTCGGCACTCCATTTCTGTTTCAAGACACTCCCTGAAGTGAAAATTTTACCAGTCTAGTTACCTGGTCGAGCTTACGACCCAACTGCTCGCCAAGAACTTCTGACAATAATATGGCAGTTTCATTCATTATTCTGCCTGCGGTTTTATTTGATTCAATTTCAGTTATCCAAATGTCACTTAATTTGCGCACAGTAGTTCTACCTACGCTGAAAAACAAGATTTTATGACGATCTTGCGAAAGTAGTTAATTGTAACTTTCACTTAAAAACTGGTGTTTTGCAATGCAGGACAATGCTACAAATAACGGATTACCGTATCGAGCCAAAGCAAGGTTTGCCACTGGCACACAGCCGAAATGTCGAGCGTTGAAAAAATGTCCTTCTGTTGTATGCTATTTATGACGTAGCTGATATAGGTGTCTGCGTCTTCCGGCCGTCTTTTCTTGGTACAAACGATGATCCGGTAAAAATCAGCATACACGATGACAGCACCGAGAGATTTCAATTCGGCCACCAGCTAAACA